TGAATAAAACTATTTGAAGACTTGATAACTGTGTAAAAATAAATATTTAAGTAAGTCAAAGACCTACTCTTCTAGTAAAACAATTACAAAAATATAATATCATAGTCAACGAATACACATATATGCCAACATGAACTGGTTTAGAACTATTTCACCATTTAAAAACTCATTTCTCTCCCGTCCACATTCTTCTCTCCCATAATCTTCTTCTTGAAGAGAGGCATTTTGATAAAACAACGAGAGCTCTGAAAGACTTGTCAGGTGAAAGTTTTTTCATCGTCATGGACTCAGATTTCTCTCACAGGGTCTGACCTGAAGGCTATTTCTTTACTCCGGGTGCTGTGAGCCGGCTCAGCATCTGGTCACACCAACTCCGTATCAACAAGGATCTGACCCTTGACTCCCAGTCACCCGGAGGCCACCCCTCCTGGCAAACGTGCCCTTTGCACAGAGCTGAGCCAGTGCCACCTCCCAACCACGCATGACACATAGCGGGGCGGGGCCTGAGCTGCGGAGCCCAGATCCTGGCTCCTTCCGGGAGATTCCGCACAGCTAGGAACAGGAAAGCTAGTGATGGGACCTGCCTCTCCAAAATGGTCAGCATATTTCAGCTCTCACGCATCTTTTCATGGCATTTGTGTTTGTCTGCCCCCCAGTGGGAATGGAGCGAGGGGAATGACAGAGGAGCCCTCCAGGGACTGGAAACGTGCTGAGTCATTAAAGCAGCCACCAGTGCCTGGTGCACACACCGCACGATGCTGAGACGGGTGCATCAGGTGTGAGCCCCCGGGGCAGAGACACCAACTTGGGTTCCAGAACTTGGATTCAGAGAACTGAAAGCAATCGACACCATGGCAGGCTTGGTTTTCACACTCTGGCTTTTAAGTAAACTGAGACACTGTTAAAATGCAGCACGCTGCCTCCCAGCAAACGAGTCAGAAAGATGCCCTGAGAGTGTTTACTCTGGAGGCCAGGATGGGTCCACCTCAAACAAGGAAGCATCTCCAGGGGTTTACGCTGTGTCACTCGGCTAATTCTTGATTTCTAAGTTCCAGGGACCCATCTTCTCCTCAGCATCCCCAACCTTCGGGAGTTCCAGAAGCTTCTTCAGTAGAGTTCTTTACTCCTGGAAAAAACAATCGTGTGGTCACTTGGGTGCAATGGACCAAGCCTGTGGCAGTGATCATGGCCCTGGGGCCCCCAGTCCTCCAGGACATATTTCAAGGAGCCCCATGGTTGGGAAGGCTCCCCCTGAGGAGTAAGAAAAGCTATCAATCAACACCAGCCCAGGCCAACACTGCAAGGCCACACATTATACCCCAGGGCTCCCTGTAGACCTTGGTTCTGTAATATCTGCAGCATTATCTTGTATCACAGAAATGCACACCTGAAACCTGTATGAGCCTATCGACCAATGTCACCCCAACACATTTAAAAATGCATACATTTCCTTTTTGCATTTTACATTTAGAAAAGAAGTTGGCAGCCTTAGTAAAGAGCCATCTGGTCTCTGTCAGACAAATACCGGTCTTCTTGCGGCCTTTTCCTGGATGTTTGAAATCAGTTTCCCTCCAACTGTTCATGGGCGGTAAAGAAAATGTCTGAATATTGGTAAAGCCAGTATGCACTGTCTCAGAGCTGAAGGACAGAACAGAAAACAAGGCAGGCAGCCCAAATACATACCTGCAGGCAAACAAACCCCACCCTTTCCAAACAAATCTCCCTAAAAGGCCCAGGGCTGACTGAAAACAGGAAGGGGTGCCTCATGGCTACTCAAGGTTGTTCACCTAAAAGGCTCAGCTAGGGACTCAGCTAGGAACCCACCCAGCGGTGGCTCAGCAAAGGAGCAGGAGGCAAGGAGGCAGGAGTGTGAGTGTGTGTGAGGGTGTGTGTGTGTGTGTGTGTGTGTGTGTGTGTGTGTGTGTGTCTGTGCCCCCAGGGCATATGTACAAGTTCTGCCCATCAGGGCTGGGACCCACAGCTTTCCTTTTTCACTGAAGAATGATGTGAAGCATGCTGGGAAACACTTGAGATTTTTGCCTTAAAATTAAACAATGTTTATCCCAAAGGACACGTTACCATTCTCTTACAACAGTAGTAAAACCAGTAACATAGATCCAAAGCCACACAGCAGAGACCGAAATTTTGGCAGCCCTGCCTTTGCAGCAACTTGAAGGACAGGAAGATGACTAAACGCCAGCAGACACAGAAGCAATTTTCGAGATTATATGCTGGGAAACGGAACACAAAATCACCCACGTGTAGCCGCCTGTTACGATCCCCATGGGGTCACTGCACATTCTGAGTTATTCCCCAGCTCTGAACTCTACCTTTTGAAAAGTAGACATTTTTACTCCACAGGGGTAATAACCCATCAACTTGTTCTTTAATTCTGGATGCTATATTTTAATTTCAGTTGATAATAATTCCTCTACCTACCATTGGGACAAAAACCTCCAGGCAAACTATATTTGTTTTTATTTTCATTTAGAAAGCAAACCAATCAATTTTCTGAATTTTCCATGAAATCCAATAATGAATCTGTATGAATGCCAACACAAATGTGCTAATAAACTAGAGAAAAATCTCAGCTTGCATTCCTGCTTCCACAGCTTCCAGAAGTGATGGAATTCATCTCAAACAAGGAACCCCATGACGATAGGCGGCAGGTCGGCTGCCAGAGGACCCTCGCAGCAGAAGGAGTGGGGCCTGCTCCAAGTCTGCACCCAGCTCTCTCCACTGGACCTTCTTTACGGGAGCGTGCAGGTGTCCGTCCAGGGGGCTGTGACCAAAAGCAGATGTCGCCTCGGTCCCAGGAAGCTGGACAGACACTCATTTCCTCCTCCCAACCCTCCAACTACCCAGACGTGGGTCTCCTGGGGTCACGTTCCCAGGACTCCAGCTCTGTTCTGTGAAGCAAATACCTGCAGTGCTGGTGGCTGCTGAGGCAGAGAAAGCTGGGCCCACTCGGTGACTCTCCATTTCTCTGCTCAGATGGTAGGGGACACTGCTCCCCACCCCCACTCAGTCATACAGGATCGAGAGAGAGGAAGAGAGTGACCCCATGAACCTCTCTCTGTTCTGCATGGCTTCACTCTCGGCAGTTCCTGTCTGTTCTCTCTACCTTGACATTAACTGCTCCCATGTCAGGCTGACCACACTTCTAACACTTTCCTAGGCTCAGCCCTAACTCAGGACCTTGGGAAAGTTCCTCACAGACTGCATCCCAACTTCTGCTCAGGATCTGCTTTGATGTTGGAGCCCTGAGCCTGGGTAGGTCTGGGTCCAGAGAGGCCAAAGGGGAGTATTTTTATGATCTTATTGTCGAGTTTTGTTTCGGTTTGTCTGTGCATTGCTTGTTCTCAGCACTATTTACCCTCCAGTCCACCTGCCATATGTGCCTAAAGCACAGGGTGGGGCTCTGGAAAGCAGAGGGACCTACTTATAAACGTACATTTTGCATTTCCAATAGATATTGCTGCTTTCTTTTCCTTTTTTTGGGTTCCAATCAGGAAACCTGGATACACAGATACCTGACTATACAGATCACAAGGTGCAGAGTTGGAGACCCTCCCTCCACCTTCCTTTTATGGACAACAGATGCCCTAAGTGCAAGGTGGTGATGGACAGAAGACAGGCCTCCCAGGCCCCAGGTCAGAGCTCTATGCACCTGACCATGTCCCTCTGGGACCACCTGAGCCCCTAAAACTTGCATCCTCCACACCAAGATACTCACAGTGCCTGCATTTCACCTCACTGCCAACAAGAGAGTCTATGAAAAACACAGGAAAACCTTTTTGTGCTTAAATGTTGACTATTTACACCCACTGGGGGGCTGATGCTAGTGGAAGATAATCTTCAATAAATTATAAGAAGGAACTTAGGTCATGATCCCTCCAGGTCCAAAACAGACAATGAACTCCTCTCTCCTCCATGTTAACGTTCACACCTGAACTAGGGCCATGGCCCCTAGGGACCTTACCCTCAAGTGTCTCTTCCATCCTCACACACGGGGAAGCTGTGACACACATGTCTGTGGTGCCTCCCTTAACAGCCTAAACCCTGACACTATGTCCTTAATTAGTTTATGTCGAGACAGACAAAATACTTCCATCACATGATTTAAAAAAAAAATTATACCAAGTTGTGACTGAAGGATAAAGAAGAAAAAATACTGTAAACTTTAAATTCTTGATTCTCATAAGAGAACCCTGAAAAAGTGTGGCCTGCGCTCCCTTCTCTGTCGCTGGAAATGCCCCCACATGTGCCAGGAAGGGGGTACAGGTGACGGTAGGGACCAGCGCTCCTCAGCAGAGAAGAACCGACATCAACCCTGGGCCGGTGTCTCAGGGCAAAAGCAACTTCAGGTGGGGCCCTTTGAGGCGCATGAGCTTATGGAGTCAGGGCCACGCGGAGCTCAAAGGCACGAAGATAACCTGGTCCAGCGTTCACCAACAGAAGCTCCTTGTACACGGAGCTGCCCCGGGACAAAGCTCTCAAACAGTGTGAAACATATTTAGCCAAAGAGAGCTCTGTCCCCTAAATGATGCCTAACTGCCCACAAGGTCAGGCAGGGCCCCCTCCCAGCGCCGGCTGGCCAAGGCCTCCAGGCTGTGCGAGGCCCGCCCTCCGAGGAGTCGGCTCTGACCGAACCCCAGGACGCGCCCAGCCACGCGCGTGGAGCAGGGCTGCGGGCTATTTCCAAGCACAGCAGGGGCACAGCTGTGCTTCCTCTTCCATGGGAATAAGCCAGCCGGCTGGTGCTCCACACGGAATCAGGTTCCAGGCCGTCAGAAGTGGCACAGTCACAGGCAAGGGCGTGGGAGAGGAAACCTGGGCTGTCATGTCGCCCGGACTCCACATCTCACTCTCCGGGCCCCTCCCCACGTCAGAGGCCTGCCCACCGCTCAACGCAGCTCTGCCACCCACGCGGCCCTCAGACGCGCGCGAAGACACCGCGGTGGCTCACCCGGGGGTCCCGGTCTCGGCGCGGAGGTCACGCGGGCCCTGCCGCCGTGGCGCCGGCGTCTCCGCGGCCTTCCTGCAGGTGTACAGCCACTTGATGATGCGCGCGTTCCTCTCCACGACCGAGGGGCCGCTGGGCGCCTGCTCCGTCAGCTCCTCCTCCTGCAGCCCCTCGTCGCCGCAGCTGCGCCGCGAGAAGCCGCCCTCGGAGGTGGCGACGCTCACGCTGCGGACCCAGAGGGCGCCCTGGTCCGACCCCGCGGAGAAGTTCTCCCGCCCGAGGGCCTCCACCACCTCGGGCTCCAGCCCGCAGAACTGGAAGAAGGTGTCGAACTCGGCAGCGGACATGGAGTAGCGGGAGCTGAGGTCTGACTGCGAGCGCTGCAGACCCCTGCGCCTGGCCGCCTGTACCTCGCGGGTCCCCGACGCGGCCGGGGCGCTGGGGCGCGCTGGGGAGGTCAGGGGTGCGGCCGGGGGAGCGGCCGGGACGCTGGGTCGCGCCGTCGGGGGAGCAGCCAGGATGATGGGGCACGCAGGGGACATTGGGGGAGCGGCCGGGACGCTGGGGCGTGCGGGGGAGATCAAGGGTGCAGCTGGGACACTGAGGCGCGCCGTCGAGGGAGAGGTTGGGACACTGGGGCGCGCAGGGGACATCAGGGGAGCGGCCGGGGCGCGGGGGCGCGCGGGGGAGATCGGGAGTGCCGCCGGAGGTGCGGTCTGGACGCTGGGTCGCGTGGGACGTGCTGGGGCCGCGGCAGAGCCCGGCTTCGTTGGCGTCACCTCCGCGCCCGCGGCCCTGCCCTTCTCTCCCGCCGGGGACGTCTCCGGGGGCGTCGGCGTCCTGTCCTTACGCGGCCCCGGGAGGAGCTTCTTCGCCAGGCCGCCCTGGAGGCCGTCGGCGCCCGGCCCGCGCGCGAACTCGCACTTCTGCCGGTACATGACCAGCGAGTCCGGCCGCAGCGGCTTCCGCGCTATCGCCCTGCGCGCCACGGCGCCGGGGGCGCGGGCCGGGGGCCGCGGGTCGACCGCCTGTCCTCCCCCCACCGCGGGGCTGCTGCCCTCGGAGGCCGGGCCCCGGGCCGTCGTCGCCGGCAGAGCCCGCACGTACTTGGCGCGGTCGGCCGCCAGCCTCTCCACCGCGCTCCTGCGTGCGGGCGGAGCCGCGTCCGGGGGCCCGGGCAGCAGCCGCTCCATCGGGGGCGCGTCCGGGCTGGGCAGCGCGCGCATCCCACCGCACTGCCGAGGGGCTCCGGCTGCGGAGAGGCCGGGCTGCGGCGCGTTGGTCCGGGGTCGATTCCAAAGTCCGAGCAAGGCAGGCACCGGCGTCCGCACCTGACGTCCAGGCCCGGACACTGCCGAGAGCGAGCCCAGCCGAGTGGAGTCGCTCCCGGGCCTGCTCACGGCTCCTCGCAGCCGGCACTGCCGCCTTCCCAGGAAAGCCCCGTAGAGGCTCAGCACCGGTCCCGCCCGCTCACCTTCCGCCGCTCCGCTCCGCTCCGCCCCTCCCGCCCGCTCCGCCCTGGCCTCGCCTCCCTCCCGCACCTCCAGCCCCGCACCTCCCGCCGCTCTGCTCCGCCCTCCAGGCGTCCAGCCCCTGCGCTCCCGGGGCTGGGAGGGCGTGGCAGCCAGGTCCCCGCTCCTCCTCCCCCTGAGAGCCGGGTCAGCGCTGGAGGCCAGCACCTCCTCGGCGGAGGAGGCGGAAGAAAGGGCTGCCCACCCTCCCCAGGCAGGTGTCTCACTTCCTTTGAACTGTTAAGGTTGACCTCAGGGTGTTTGGAAACTTGACTTTAGTTTCCCAAGTTTCTACTTGAGCACAGATATTTATTATCAGAAAAGAAACCGACAGAAAGGAAAGAGGAGGTGCAGAAGAGACTGTCTGTGTTGGGCGGAAAGAACCCAGGAACCAGAGGGACCTGGGTCAGGTCCAGCGCAGTTAATGGCCGGCTGTGACCCTGACCGGGATCCGAGTAGGACTCAGAGGGCAGGCGGGCGAGATCCCTGGATTTGGATGACAGAATGACCAAATGACAGAATAACTGCTGTTTTTACTGTAACCAAGGCAACGGGAAACCACAGGCTCACAAGGCAAGTGGAACAGCCCAGGAACGCTGAACGTGTAAGAGAAAATATTTCCAAAATTCCATTATTTCCAAAAGCTGGACATAGAACTAGAAGTATCTGCTGGAGTGCAATGCTCACCTTCTCTCTGTGTTCAGGCCAGCTCCTCTCCCAGCTGTGGCTGCTGCTGCTCCTGGCGGCAGGAGGGAAAGCATCTGAAACCTGTGGGCACCAAAGGTGGAGTCAGCAGTGCAGCAGCAGAATGAACAGAACCAGGTTTGGCTCACTCAGCGAAGCCCCCTCTCCTCCCCCTCACCACCGATGACCAAGCAGCAGCAGGTGTGTGTCAAGGGGACCTTGAGACCTTAACCCCTGTAAGGCCAAACCCCATAGTCAGGGAGGAAGTACAAGAAGCCCGGTCTCCTGAGACCCAAACTAGCCACCTCCACTAATTGGAGCGCATGGGAAGATGGCCGTGGTCCTTCAGCTCGAGGGCAAGGAAGTGGAGATAAAGCATGAGCAAACGGAGGTTTACAGTTGTTCATATGGAAAATAATACAACTAAATAGTAGGGCAATAATGGGCTGTTAGTGCAGTCACAACTGTAAAAAAGACATACGTTTGTTGAATTATTTCTATATGTCCGAGGCTATATTTTCCACGTATTTCCACAGTGGGAGTCACCACTGTAGCCCAGACTAGTTATTGGAAGATCAGCAATTCTTTTCTCTAGTCTCCTAAACCTGTTTTAATGCAAGCCTATTTCCTCTTACTGATTTCCATACAGTTTTGGAAAAACAGATCAATCTCTCTTTATAACCACCGTCTGCATAACAATGAAAAAGTGCTTCACGTGATAACTGCCTTCCGTTTTCTCTGTTCAGGCCTCACCTTCACTTACAGGTTTTCATTCTCTTTCCTAGAAACCACTCCATGGAAGCTTGGAACTTCAGAAAACAAGAAATTTAGTAGAGCCTTCCTGGTTCAAGGGGCGCTGAGGCAAGGTTCCTGGGGCCAACAGGCCAGGTTGCTGGGTGTGAGGCCTCCTGGTGCTTAGGCTGACAGGGTGGGCGGGCGGGAAATGCTGGCCCAGGTGGGAGCAAGGCCAGACACAAGATTCCTCAGGAATGTTATGGGGAAACCAATCACATGATCAAGTGACACAGTTGTGCTCCTTAGCCAGAGCCCTGAGCCCTTCACCTTGAGCTCAATATTTCAAATGCTGATGTTTTCACGTTTATGACTTATAATTCTCTACAAAGTTTTGGGGGCTTTGTGCCAATGTTTATCTTCAATGAATGTGGTTTCATATCATCTACGGGCATTTCACGTGCTACCTGGAATGATTCTGAGAGGGCAGGTGAGGTTTATGGAACATGAAGAAACAGCATTATCTTGTCCATGGCTGTGCCAAGACATGATGGGCTACTGGGAAAGAGTGATTAACATGTGTGGTTCAGGGAGTATCTAAGAGTGTCACACGCAAGGGACATCACTTCACTCCCCGAATCAAAGGGACAAGGAAGTTCCCCAGACCACTTACGAAGAATTGGATACTAATTAAACAGGAAGGCAATTAATAAATTACCTGTGCAAAGATATACTTTGAGGAAATTACAAAGTTTAATAATTTATTTTGTACTTTAAGAGGATGTTTATTGATTTTTAGGTAGTTTTTTTTCTCAAAGACCTAGACATTGATGGGGCATGGAGCATGAACGTGTTTGCCCCGGGTTCTGGCACACACAGTAGGTTCTGATGATGACCCAGATCCGGTGGGGAAGCCAGGAGGTCTGGAGCCAAAGCACGGCTCTGTCACCTGCCAGTCAATGTCCCAATGACACTGCATTGGGACCTAGAGCTACCTCAGCGTCCTGTGGGGCCTGTGAGGAGCACCTGGAAGTCTCATATAGTCCTTTCCTACTTGACATGACTCCTTCCCCTCCCCCACAGTCTCTGCTCAGCCGAGGCCTGGACAGTGCGGGCACCTTTTCTCGGCCCTCCATCCACAACATGCTTCTCCTCTGCAGTAGCTTCAGGGAAGTCTGTTGGAAATTTGTTAAGTAACCCATTTAATATTCAGGATGAGCAGACTGATACTAGTTTTCATCCTCAAAACTCCATCTGTCAGGGTCCAGGAATGCCCACAGTAACTGGCACCAGCTTCCACGGGTTGTGCAGGAGCCATGTCCATCATTAGAACTATATCCCAGCCTACAGTCAGACGAGGACAGATGATGCCCATGGAGCCTTCTCCATTCAACACCTTAACTTCCAGGAAAACGACAAGTGTGCACCTGGAGGCAGAGTGCCCCTGGGCACACTCCCACAGTCTCACTGTTCCCGCCCTTCCCAGTGGCTCCCATTTCCTCAGGTCAAGGGCAGGTGATCATATCACCGCTCCAGTCTCACTGGTCATGGACTCACCTTGGCCAACAGACAGCCAGCAGACAGGAGCTGAGGCTGAGCCCTGTGTCTGCTGCTGCCCGCTTTTCCCCAAATGGCTGCTTTTTTTTTTTTTTTTTTTTTAATAATCCTGTCATAATTTTAATGTTCATAGAAAGATATGATATATTCGTACATCTTATTATCTTTCTGTTAACACAGATCCAGAGAGGTTATATATCCCCTGAATATGTATATGAAGATTATGAATAAATATAATGTCTGTCAACACAGAAACTCCATGAGACTGGTAGGGACTTCCACGGACAAGCCCCCAGCAATGCCACCGAGTTCACAGTTTATGTTACAAACACCAGGAAACAGGATGTACAGCTGTGTCAGTTTCTGATTGTTGCTGTGACAAATTTCCACAAACATTGTGACTTTGTGAAAATGTATCACCTTAGTTCTGGAGGTCAGAGGTCTATAATGAGTCTGCGACTGTGTGCCATCAGAAGGCTCTTGGGAGAATCTCCTGGTGGGCCTTCCCCTTGTCTAAAGGTTACCCACTCTCCTTGGCTACGGGTCCTTCCTCTCTCACCAAAGCCACAGAACAGCATCTTCTCTTTCCTCTGACACTTTTTTTCTGAAGTAAAAAATTAGATCATTACTGTCCATTCTTACATCTTACATCTTTGAAGAAATCATTTAACTTCTTGGAATTTTGGTTCTGTCTTCAGAATAAATATAAACCACTGAATGCCTACCTTACAAAGGCACATAGAGGCATATTGCAAAAAATAATGCTCTTCAAATACAAAGAGGCATTGATCATAGTGGTAGAAGGCAAGCCAAGCTCCAAGAAACTGAAGTTCAACTTGAAGTTATGACTTGTGACAAGAAAGATTGCTCAAGGAGGCTGAGGAAAATGTCACCAGGTTCCTGTCGAGCTTTGAGGGCTTGGATGTTCCAGGGGGAGCCTGGAAGATGGGAGCAGAGATACTGTTAAGGCTGGAGGTGAAGTTCATGAGCTCAAAGTAGGGGACAGGTCACAGCCAAGTGCAGTGGACAGTCATCAGACAGGATCAAGCCAAACCATGTCAGGTCACCAAGGCCAGAGAGAGGCACCAGAGTGAGACTGTGGGAAACCCAAGTTAACAGAACATGTCCTCGGGTAGCAGATTGTGAGGTGAAATGTGATATTGAGGCTTGGGGAGAGTGGGCCATGGCTTATTGGTCATTTGCAGCCATTGCTCACTGGTTGCCAGAGAAGGAAGCAGGGCTGAGGTTCCGAAGTGAGGTGTCCTCCTTGGAGAGGACCCTGAAATTCAAGGCTACTGGTTAGGAAGGAACAACAAACAAAAATGTAAATATAATTGCAATAAAATCTTATAGACCTGAGGAACCTAAGCCAGAAAATAGCAATTAACATTCTTCATCTGATACCAAAATAGTTAGAAAGTTCTTGTGTTGCTCAGTGCCGTTGACATCTGCCGTTCTTTAGAAAAGGCAAACCCCCTTTTATCAGAGATAATGACAGTTTCGTCAGGAAGCAAATGAGTTATTTTATACTTTTGTTAATTACAGAGACTGAAACATAAATTCTTCGGCTTATTCCCCACATGTAGATGAAGCCTTCTCTATGAACAACTATAAGGAAATACCACATCCTCAGAGACAAGAGTTTACAGCTTTATGAAAGAGAAGATTTAAACATGTTTACAAGGTCTGACTTTACAGTAATTACTACCATGCACATGTGTTAGGCTACTTCCTATTCTAAC